GATTTTCTTCAAAATTAAATGGGACCACTATGGAGGTACCCTCTTTCCAACACAAAAGAATCATCAAAATCGGTTCACAAATGAGTTATCGCGTAACATACATAAAAAAACACACAGTCCAATTGAGAACCTCCTCTTTTTTTTTAAATTGGTTAATAATAACATTCTACTCTAGTATCACAGCACATTCACGAAAATCTAATTTATGTTAAAAAAAATAGTAAATTATTAATGAGTAGACGTAACCTTAATAAGAGGAATGGTAATAAACTGGCTGTTCTTGAGTGTCGTCTTTACAAAGTCAGAACCAAATTCATTTAGGTGGCAATGTATATGCTTCTGTGATAAGATTCCGGTTTATATTCGGAGTTCCATATAAGGGGTTTAAAATTGTTGAACAAAAACGTTATACAGCCTCTGCATACATGGACTATAACAATCTATAGAGACCCAACCTCTAGAGTTTCTTACTCATTCTTCTCAGGAGAATCTACCTTACGAATGAGTAGTAGATTTTAATTTGTGACAATTTCAAATATAATTTACTTTATTATGAAGTCAATATTTGAGTTTGAGGCCAAGTTTCTTTACAATACGCTCGCTGTCTCCATATTACTTTCACTTTAAACTGGTCTGTGTAGCTTATTGCAAATGCCTAACTCGCCTAACTCGTCTTTGATCTTTCCTTTCAGAATATTTTACCAAAATTTATGTATTACTTTCGAAATAACTTCGAAGAACATTTCTGCACCAGGAAATTTCATTGAATTGTCGTTACAATCAATAAAATCAATCTGTTTCATCGAATCGTCGAGCTGGATCAATAATTTCAGGTTTCTGTCCCGCCAGCCGTTCAGGTTTTGCTTAATGATACTTTTTACCGGAAAGATCATTATTTACGCAATTATTTCGTTTTTTAATGTACAGCGATTGTTAATGAAACCCTTTTAACTACAAACCTACAATTTTCCAGTAGTTACTGAATACCTACACTGAAATTAATAAATAAATAAATATTAGACAACATCACACACATTGCTCTGATCCCAAAGTAAGTAACCAAAGCACTTGTGTTTTAGCAATCGGAAACAACGATGGCATGACACCCTGGCCCGAGACAATACAGAAAAGTTAGTTTCTACTACTTTCTACATTGATCCGGCCGGGGATTGAACCCGGGACCCCAGAAATGACGACACCATGAAAACCGGTATGCAAGCCACTCGACCACTGACGTCGTCAAAACTCTCACCTAACTTATCCATTTATGGTTTAGGTAGCTTTTTTCGCTTCAGTTTTGTACCTAGGAATGTAATAACTGCCTCTCTGGCCGGACTGCCACCCAGAAGTCCCAAGTTCGATTCCCGGGCCGGGAGAAATATTTGTATGGCCTACGTTTATTTCTCTCGTGAGTTTGGGTGTAATTTGTGGTTGTCTATGTAGTGTCCATGGCACTCGCGACACAGGGGTTCCGTAGTACGGGACTATGTTGAGTGTGTGCGTATTTATAAAAAGTAAACTTATGCCTCAGGTAACAGTAGTAACAATACCATAAAACCTAAAATAAAAATAACCTTAAGAGTTCAGGACTTTCTTTAAAGCTTTCCTCCAGGTTAAAGGTTCTTAACAAAACAATTTTGTCTAGTGACATTTTTAATAGCGTACAATGAATACATGGTGTGTTAGTAGGTGATAGAAAAAACCCATTTCCAAAAAGAGAATGCTAAGAAACTAAGTTATATAATCGTCACAAACAAGAACTGCATAATAACATCTTTATTTAAAATCGTTACATTTACTGATTGCTTACTGGCTAAATAATCTTATGCGTTGTGGAAAAAACTACAATCATTATAAGTAATAGACGATGATCAATTAGTTTCCAATTACGATTAAAATTTACACAATATTCCCACAACAATAAAACCTAACACCAAATTTTATTTAGTGTCCCAGTGTCTTCGATCAAATATATTGGCTCAAGATAATATTATTAACAATCTGGTAATGAAATCAACAAAGTAATGTAGGGACATGGATAATTACCATATTTATAGAAATTAATATTCAATATCCGAACAAAACAAACAAGACAGTGGTTTAAACTTTCACTTACGTTAAACGTGTATAAAATCTATTGAATATAAAAACACATAAAAAAACATACATATATTGCAACGTCGGTGGTCTCGAAGGGACATGGACAATAATAAAAATGCAAATATGCTTTTATACACGATGAAATCCCGAATTTAAAATCAAATAAAAACAAACAATGTCAAAGATCCAGGAAGCAAAAGCCATAATCTTATGATATGGTAGTATCTACTCAGCCTATCATTATAATAACCAATTTATAATACTTAAGATTTACAATTAGATATTAGATTCAAATTTCTTTCTATGTTGTGCATGAGACACATACTCATTCTATCAACTAATGAAGTTTGTGACGATGATGATGAAGCAAAGCAATGGACCGGCGCATCGTCGGCAATGGGCGATGGGTGGTTCAGCAGAGGTGCATGTCAGTGAAGGTCTTCTTGTCCTTGAAAATTGGGCCCCAGGCTCCGTAGTTTTTAGGTTCAGGTTTCTTCGCCGTGTACGAAGATGTGGCTGGTGCGGTCACAGGTTTTCTGGAATGATACATTGAAATGTTACACGTTAGTTAGCTCTTTAGGCTACTCTACAAGACATACAGAAAGAAAACTGACTCAAAATAGTGTCGTGTAAAGGCGTTTTATGTAACAGTTAACAGTAAAAGTTAGCGCAGTCTTGGATGTTGAAGTTAGATTGGTTGACAATACGTCTACCTTGGCCAAAATATCCAGATTGGCAAGCACAACTTCGAGAAGGAAGCTGACAGGTATTTGGGAAGCTTAGCCACATTTTCAGGTCGTCAATCCCACAGAGCCTAAAAACTAAGGCATTTAACCAGTGCGCTCTACCAGTTATGTCATACGCAGCCGATACGTGGACATTAACAACAGGCCTCATCCACAAATTCAAGGTCGCCAGCGTGCGATGGAGCGAGCTATGCTTGGGGTTTCTCCCGAATCTCTAACCGAATCTCTAACGAGGATATACGTCAGAGAACTAAAGTGACAGACATAGCTCGCAAAACCGACCGACCGATGATGGAGCAGACTTGTTCTGGAATGGCGACCGTCGTGGTCGCCATTCCAGAACAAGGAAAACGTATTGTGGGAAAACGTATTGTGGGACGCCCTGCGGCAAGATGGATGGACGACCTGTGAAAGGTGGCCGGCAGCGGCAGGATGCGGACGGCATAAGACCGGGAGAGTTGGCGTGCGTGAGGGTAGGCTTATGTCCAGCAGTGGATGCGTATAAGCTGATGATAGATAGATAATAGAACATGATTGTCATAGCAGTGAAACGGCGCTGACTCAGCAAATGCCAAAGTTTCCTAAGGCGCTGGTTTTCAGTGAGAACCAACGAGAGGGATTAAACAATTTGAAAGCAAAAATATAACGACTATGAGTAAAGTATACATTGACAATAATAATATACATAGCAAAGTGTAAATAGTGCATCTAAAATAACCTGTTTGACAAATAAGTGCATGAGCGACTGTGAATATAATTACAGCTGTAGAAGTAAGTTGTGACTGTACAGAGGTTTTAATGTTGTGTAATGTATTTACTATTTCATATAATTATACACATAATAAGAATAGATCAAAGCAACAACAAACTTCGATTCTAGACAAACTACGTTAAAGAATAAAAACACACAACACAGATTTATGAAGTGAGAGTAGGTGTTACCGGTACAGTGCTTTGAATTTGGGACTGGATGATGATGGTTGACAAGAAGCTTAAAGACAGCGAGTGAAATATATAATCACAAAAGATTTAAACGTACTCAAAAATTTTACTTACTTGAGGGGACTTGCGACGTCAAGGTGCTTGCAGACATAGTTAGCCTTAGTGGCGGTCTTGCATTCATCACCTCTGGCCATGATAGCTAACACGGAATAGGTGCGCCGGGAAAAATGGATGGGGGTGCGGGAAGCAGAGTACAGGCAAGTGATCTAAGGGACGTGCTGGATATGAGTGAGTACTGAGTGTTCCAGACGGTTGCCGGTGTTTGCTCGACGACTACCCTTCCTGGTGCACAGGTTTTTAGCGAGTCTGGAAATTAAGATATTTGAATCATTAAAATAAGTATTATATTTGCATCAGGAACGAAATCTGTTTCACCGATATATTCACTTATCGATTCAGTATCAAATGAATCGATCCAAAATTCATTAGGAAACTTATGCTATTCAAAGTCGGTATGTTGGTTATTTTGGACGTTTGAAAAGAAAAAATAAAAGATATTACGTGTGTTTAATTATTTTAGGACATTTCTACGAATGATAATTTGAATAAAAGTTATTTTAATTTTTATTCTCACTGGAATCTTCTTTACGAACGTGTTGTAATGGTTGTTTAATTACGAATTATTATTTAATAAATTTGGCGATTTTAAATGCAATTTGCTTATTTAGGAACAGGCATTTTGATTTGAATTAGGGAGGTAGGTACTCAAACTTTGAACAGGTTTTCTTAAATAGGTTTGCATGTCTGCAAACCAGTAAAAAAAGAAAAGAAAATTTAAGAGAAAATAACCTTTTACAACCGTACAACCTGTATATTTCAAATAACAAATGTGTATGAAAATACTACGTAAAGATTTTAAACAAAAAGATGTTTACCACATTGTACACCTAATAGAGAAAAAAACATTAATTAACCAGCTCCAGCTATTGAAGATACATCTCAAGAAAATAAATATAATAAATTTCCATTAACATGGAATAATCAAAGGTAGTATATGGGCAGAACTGGACAAACTAGCTGATGCAATTCTGGGCATGGTTGGATCATCTTAATTTGCATAAACGTTGATTATGTAACCAAGTAATCAGCATATTGTATTTGCAGCAGTTTTGTGATCTCAAGGGCATGGAAAGATTTAAGCGACTTCGATAATGTGACATCGATTTAGCTTTAAATAAAAATATTTCATCCATAAATAGCCTGTTAAATTTCGAATTATCATATAGTTTACGAAAGACCTACATTTTGCCCAGTTTAACTAGTTTCGGCAAAGGTGACCAAGGGCGTTGACTGCTGTTTGTCGTTTGTCACACACCCGGCGCGTGCACATGTTGCTCACCGGCAGTGTTGCCAGTTCATCTAGATTATTTTGTTTAAGTTTCCCATAGTTTGTACTGAGTGAAAAGCTTATCTGAGTAAGTACGTATAATATACAATAGAGTTCTGAAGAATTGTTTTCATTACTTTTACAATTCAAAATTTTCATTACTTCACGTAGCTCATTATTACAGCTCCAAAAGGTTTATTATCAGTTGTACAGATCGATTTTTAGGTTTTCGCGATTATTACACATAGGATATGTAACTATTTTTTCGAATCTATATCGTGTTTGTTTTTTCATACAAGCCTACGTTTCGGGCCCTTTACCCCCGCTCACACAGCATTGCACTGCACGTTTTTTTGCAGTACTCGATGTGCATTTGTACGTGTGTGCGCTTTTTGCGCCACTGTTTATTCGGTTCGGATTTATACTGCAAAAAACGTGCAGTACAATGCCGTATGAACGGGGGTTATAAGTCTCATGATCACGACTTACTCAAAGTCACGGATCGTCCCGCAACGTTGGTTTGTATGCGATATCCTAAATCAGTTACATAGATGGTAGATAAAATTATTAAATAAATTTTCTTTTGCCTGAATGGTTAATGTAAAGATTAACAAAATCAAGCATTATGTATCCACGGTAACCGTAGATATCATAAGAAAATTTAGTAGCAGTGGTGCTTCTTGTGAAAGAGTTTGTCCAGGGAAGTACTGCCGTACCTATTTCTGTCGCCAGGCAGTAATGTGAGCATAAGACAGAACTAAATACTTTGTACCACGTCACCATCGTCATTGTACATTTTTGTCAAATTTGGTCTCAGCGCCAGATATTCAAGGCAAAAGAAGACACGTTGAAGTACCTATAATCGTCATTAAACTAAAACTTAAAAAAAAAAGAAAATAAAACGTTGCATATCTTTAAATGGCAACATTGACGGAATAGCAATATGCAAAATGTAGCTTGTGGTGAACACGAACTGGTTATTTGCACGGTCGATGAATTAATCCATAAATTTTAATATGTATTTGTTATCCTGTTCTTGTGAAGAACCTACCTACTTTCATGTTTAAATAAATGTATACTATAGGAAGAGGCTCTCAATGCGATTGTATTTATAGTATTGTGAACGGATTTTGATGATTCTTTATATGTTAGAAAGAGGGTACCTCTAATAATAGTAAATTGGATTTCCGTTAATGGGTTTCTCTAAAACTTGACAAACACACAAACTTTTGAAAACGGTTTTTTTATAAAAAAAGTTATTGTACCTACTGTTAGAAATATAAATGAAAGATTTCTTTATAATCATTAACAAACCGAAAGGTACAGAATTAGTATCTAAGTAGTTGGTTTGAACAGAAGTAGCTTTAGTCTGTAGTTAAGGAACGCTTGCTTGAGTGGAAGAGCGAGTTCGATCATGAGTTTAGAGTACCTAGTTAAAATCGCGAGTTTAAACGTGTGTAGAGAATAAGGATGGAAGAAGAGATATCTCACCTACCTCAATAGTGATCCGATTTAAATTTGAAGAAAATATTGTAACTCTGGCAAACTAGAGAATGAACCCGTTTTCGCACACTTTCCAGTAACCGATTTCAATAAAACTTGGCAAATAGATGTAATTTCACGAACTTTTGAGAACAGTTTTTTTTTTAAGTTATAATTATTTTCACTCCTATTGCAAGGACTCAAAAGCTTTTCTGACCAACTTAAGCCGATTCTGTGCTATAAGTGTGGTAACTCCCATATGGAACTCATAATTCCTGTAAAAATTAGCTCTATCGTAAACAAGAAGCCTAAAAGTAAGTAGTAAGTCTATAATTATTATACCCATAAGAAAACTGACCTCAAAAGTTTGTGGAATTACATCTATTTGCCAAGTTTTATTGAGACCGGTTATCAGAAACTGGGTGAAATCCAACAACCGGACTTATCTCCTAATAATCTCCTTTGCCACTCTTAGAAGTGGAATATCTTGTTTAAATTTGAAAAAACTACTACTACTCTTTCCAATAAAAAAAGAATTATCTAAATCGGTTCACAGATATCGGAGTAATGGCATAACAGCGGAACCGCGACTTCAAAACCCGAGTTGCGGAAAACTGCAAAGGGCGGTAGTAAACCCCGAATGCCTGTCTCTGGAATCGCAGGTGCCAAATCTCAGAGGCAGACCGACAGGTGCGACGAGGACGGCTTCACAAAGGTGGAGAAGAGAAGAAAGAAACCCACCAGCCGAAATCTATGTGGCACAGCTCCAACGGGACAGAACTTCTTGCTTCGTGCGGCCATACCGACGACGCAGTTGTACCTGTCTCGACTGCATTACTCCACGAAGTCTGAGGATATAGTGGAGTATATCCGGTTGAAAGCCAAATTCACCCTGAGGGTCGAACGTTTGGAGTCTCGCCACAACGTTAACTTTAATTCGTTTGTGGTGAGGGTCCCAACGGTCCATCTGTCGACCTTCATGCAGGCAGAGTTTTGGCCGAAGGGTGTCATGTTCCGGCGGTTCAGAGGAACGATACATGACACTTGTTTGCGTCGCACGTCGCCGAATAGTAATTCGTGTAAATAGTTAATAAGTTTATATTATTTTATATGTATGTTAGTCTGTAAGGTATGTATCAATAATAATAATATGTATGTTAGTCTGTAAGGTATTTGTTATATGGGCCTTAGTTGCCTGAAATAAATGAATAAATAAAATAAATAAAAAAAAATAAAATAACATACCCACTCAAAAATACAGTCGAACTGAGTACCTCCTCTTAAGTACAAATATAACTAAACGTTATTACCCTACTAGATAATTAAATATTAAAATGGTTTTAGCAAATTCTATTCCAACGTAAACAGTCATATATAGGTAGGTACGTTTATAAAAAGTAACTAAACCAAAGGTACGTGAAAATATTTAAACAGAGAATTTGAAAAGGCTGAGAGAAACTGAAAAAAGGCGCCCTAAACGAGCGAATAGACCAAACGGATTTTTATGTGATATTAGCAACCATTTTATTAACAGTAGCGCTCCTAATGCAAGACTTCGTCTAGGGAAGTACTGGCTCCTTACATATTTCTGCCGCAACGCAGTTATATGACCATTACTGTGCTAGTGAAATTACAGGCACATGGGACTTGTCAACTTACGTCTCACGGGGACTCTATCGTAAATGGGATTGACGGCACAGATTAAATATTTAAATAAGGACATTTAATATCACATATCACAAATTGCTACGATAAACAACCTAAAAACTCAGGAGTTCGCAACCTTTAAAAAGATGGACAGTTAACAGATAAATTAACATGTGATTGAATTAAAGAGTACGGCAGTAATACGACGTAACTCGAAAACGAAACTCACTTCTAAATATTGTACTCACTCAACTCAACTACGCTTGCTTTGCTTGCAAGTGAGAGTTGAAGTTTGTTTACATTAAATTTAGTTAATTATGTACAGTTACATACACTGCATTATCTATAACATTATAAACTCTCTATGATGTGTTCAGGAAGTGCATGTTACGACCGGCATTGCGGCATTGTTCAGAGCTATTAGCAGTAATTATCAGTAAAATATTGCAAAAAACTTATTTCTCACGCAGGCCACGCAACCGTAGTCTTTTTTTAATTCATTGACAAACTTTTACAAACGAGTTTTTCTGTAATTAATTTATATTCTTTAGAGAAATAAATATTCTATAATTGCCTAAACTTTTATACTTAAGTCAGTACATCAGAATAATGTTTTCAATTGTAATAATTATTTAATCGTATTTTTAGTAATCCACTAAATCAGAACACGTGCAGCAAGAATTAATAATCAATAACCGATTTCCTCCGACTTGAGAACTAGAACTTCGTGAATATATTCCAAGTTTGCTTCATGCTTAGTTCCAATACGTACTTGCTGTATAAAATAATGACGAAAGTAAGGAGGTAATTTAGCTACTAAACTAGTTTGACCACTAATCGATAAAAAATTAAAAATTACCGCTAGTTTTTTTTATTTGACGTTACGATTGGTTATAGACATTGACTTAAGTTAATTGCTATAGACATTTTAATTGCTTACGTAAATAGATAGGACCTTTTGATATTGCATGGCCTAAATTCAATTGCCGAGCAAAAGGACATCGTGCTGAATATTTGGAAATGTGATTTTCAATCAAATTGACTGGAAAGTGGAAATATATCCGAAAATAATCTAAACCGGTTCTGAAGATTCTTTTTTTGTTGGAAAGAGAATACCTCAGTATTGGTCCCACATATATTTGAAGAAAATATTCCACCTCTAAGGGTGTCAAACTAGGGGATGAAACTTGGCAAATAGATGTAATTCCACGAACGTTTGAGGTCGGTTTTGCTTTTATAAAAATTATTGAAACCAAGTGACCAGACGAACAAGTAGTGCCACTGGTGTTAAGCGACACGCCTGTCCATAGCAACACTCAGAGCTTTAAGTTTCAAAGATCTTAGGAACACTGCCACTGCTCGTATCACCCAGAGACACAACACAAAATGTTGACAAATCTCATGTGCCTATAATTTCACCAGCACCCTTCAAAACCGGAACGCAATAATGTTCTCATTACTGCTTAGCGGCAGGAATAGATAACGTGGCAGTACTTCCCTGAACGACTCACACACAAAGTACTCTACTGCTACTAGTACATATACAATATATTATGTACCAACGTAACCGGATTAGATCAATTTTGTGCTACCAAGTTCTTTATCGTATACGTATAACTTACCTCTTCAGCAATATAGCATAAATTTAATTGTAAAAAATAATTGTATTTCGTGTTTGCTGTACATAATATCGCTATAATTCTAAAAGAGCAACAAAACACTTACCTAGGAAGAAATTTATCGGTGATGGCAAATTTTCTCTTGGCTTTTGTCATTGACACACAATTTTAGTTGAAAATAATTAAAAACTCCACACAAAAACAAAATTTTGCGGCCGATTGATCAGAGGAACACGTCCCAACTGGTCGGTGAAACGGACAACTTGTATTTAAATGTGGAAATCGACAAAGGTGCGTGTAGAGACGGCCAAATGTGGAACTTAATGCTGCTTCCTTATATGAGAACGTCCCCCCGGATACCGCAACCTGTCCCTTCGTCCAGTTAGACGCCGCTATACAACTTTTGTGTTATGGAAATCCTGCGCTTGATCACGCCACCGGCTGCTGACTGGAGCTGGACACATTACAGAGTCGATCTTTATATGTAACATTTTAAATAACTCATTCTAATAGTCAGTAAAGGAATTTTCCATTTTATTGTTTTTTTGGAATATTCTAATGTTTCTTGTTGAACTTGTTTTCAACTTTTTGGATAAAAATGGTTCTTCCCATCGCTATCATTGAGCTTTTGATATATTTGAAGTTTTAACTTCACGTGTTCTCAAAGTTGTACTACCGTATGCTAGCTATTGTGTTACAAATGAACCTTTTAAACAACCATAAAGTGATAACCTCTCTTGTACATTTTTATTGCCTAAAGTTTCTTATTTATTTACATTAAGTATATTCTATGTTTTTATAACCAGAGATGTGAATAAACAAAGTATACTTATTTAAATTTCAAGTAATATACCTGGAGCGGATAATACTCAAAAGAATTAAAAAAAAGATCGAAATCCATTCATATAATACAAAGATAGCACTGCTACCCGATATTTAAACCGAACAGTGTGTTATAGAGCCCATTTTTTGGACATGTGCTTTTTTATTCCAAAAACCTATAGACCTCATGATTTAAAACATTAGACTAGAACTCCCGCGTGAGTTTGCTTAAATTTTAATCAGATAAAGTGAAAAAAAAATTCTAACACAATAATTAAAATTATTACAAAAAAAATGGCGTACATAGTTCAAAAGTACTTCTTATTATATATATATACACTTGGTATATATATATATATATATATATATACCAAGCTCGTAACGTTATTAGATCCAGACTAATAAATTATTGTTAAATTTTCGTTTCAATGTTTTTGTCTCCTGAGCATCTCTCAAAAAACAGATTTAAACATGAATCTAGAAGATTCGCTCTGGGCCTTTTGGAAGGAAAAGTGTCGTTTTTATTTTGACTTTCAATTATTTTGTGAAATCTAGTTTAAAGTGGAATAGGATAGTGCTATTGTGCCTTAATCGAAGATTAAAACGCGAAATTATACGAATCTCGAACTAAAATACCCGTATCGGCCCGTTCTAAGGAATCCCGAGTCAATCCAATCACGCCGCCTCAAATTGCCTATCCTCTTTGTGGTGGCCATATTTACAGAAATATAATTAAACGTTTATGTTTTCGGCTGAAGGACTTTGTTTCCATGGCCAGCAATAAATTAAAAAAAAAATGAATCTAGAAGTTAAAGTCAATTTTAGTTATATACGGACGTCGTTAGGGTTGTCACTTCCAACACTACAAATAACCTGGTATATCTTATCTAGACACATATCATCAGCTTTTACTAAAATCCCATGTCAATGCATTATTTCACTGAAACACAGCGAAAGCGGACCCGTTCTTCTAAGGGATATCCTTCTAGGCCCCGACCACAGGACTACTAAGATTTCAAAACAATTTTATTAGGAGATGGACTAGCGCCCAGTTTTAACCCGGCATTTTGAAAATGTCGAGTTTCAATCGGGTTAAAATCCATTAACCATTGAAAACGAGAGCAAAATTGACCTTGAACCTGTCACTTGGTGATCCCAAATTGATAATTACGTGGGAATAATTTCGGGAATATTGATAAATAATATCTGTGAAAGCCATTTTCGTGAAAATATCTTATATCATCATCGTCAGCCCACTCCACTGTAAGAGATATACTTCCCCAATGTCCGTCATTGTGCCGGGTCCTCACCTTGTCACAACCATTGCCTTCCAGCACCTGGCCGGAGGGCGTCTCATATTTTTTACTCACACGAATTATCAGTTTGGGCCTACTGTGTGTTGTGTCAGCGCGGTGCCAGTACGAGCATAGATAAGAAAGCGGGGAAGGGGGTGAAACCGCGAGCTGAGACAAGAATCTTGTTCTTGATTCATTGCTAACGCTAATTTTGTAATTATGCAGCGCAGTAAGTGAGAGTCTTTGCGACGATTGCGAGGAGGACTTTTTGTGAAGTTGCTTTTCATTCATCTAAAAAAATCTAAATTTCAAATAACTTTGGTGTTATACCAAATCCATATCATTTAACGCGTATAATTTATTTATTAATTTTATTTATTTATTCATTTAACATTTGTAACTTAACAGACTAAAGTCCAAATCGCTACAAACACAGAAACAAGGAAAATTAAAAATTAAAATAAAATAAAATAAACATAATACATTTCACAGAACTGAACATACAGTTCATTTGTTAAAATGTATTCCTACATTCACTCATTAGATATCCAAACGTGCTATCAAATAAATCAATATGTGGTACCGCCTCGAGAACGGAGTTGAGGAGTGTGATGGCGCGCAGCACCGGTGTGTTTCGGTGTGCCTGCGTGCGCGCCGCGCCCCGCGCTAGCAGCACGTGGCGTCGCGCGCGCCTATACTCATCCGGCACAAATAGCCTTAGCAAACGCTGCAGTAAATAAGAGGAGTAAATTTTACCACGAATAATATTCACAAAAAAATTCGCCAGTGCGAGGAACCTACGCAACTGTGAAGAGAAAAGCGTAGGATACAAGAATGGGTAATAACCATAGCGCCTTTTGTATAAATGGCGGAGAAACTCTTTCTGCACCTGCTCCAACATGAGGTTATATTTCTTCTCACAAGGAATCCAAACAACTGAGCTTGTCTCCAATATACTTCGTACTAATGATACGTAGAGCGTGCAGGTCGCCCGGTCTGAGAGATGAGAAGCATTTCGGAGTACAAACCCCAGTCGTCGCTATGCTATCAACGTAACTCACTCTATGTACGCGAGGAATGTCAGACGACTATTGTAAACAACATACTCATCAGCATACTTCCTAACAAAAATACAAACTTACGCGGCTGTGGTGACCGCGTAAAGCTTATCACCTCGCACTTTGCAAGGTTGAAGTATAATTTATTATTTTTACTCCAATCGTACACGCTGTAAAGATCCCTCTGCAGCACCACAGTATCCTCTCTACCCTTCACGCACTTAACCAATTTCACGTCGTCAGCGAATACATAATGTTTTCCACGATTTTGGGCAGAATTCGGTTATAACTTGGCGCTTTGGGTACGAGTCCTAATTAAAACCTGAGCGGGCAGATTGGGTTTTAATCCACATCTCTGGACGTTTTCACATCCACCGCACTGTCACGAGCTTTTCGCCAGGTTGCACCGGCCGAAACGTCGGGGTAGTTATTAATAAGTAGGTGTGAAAATACATATTAAAATTGTTTTATCGCGTTTCTTCCCGTTTTGAAATGTTAATATAATGCAAGAAGACATACGAAGCAAGACGGCGCTAAACCTCATGCTGGGTAGGAAATGATAGTTAAGTAACACCGCAGTCGGGTCTCTACATCTTCCTGGAATGATTGCCAGGTCATAAGGAAACGAAACAAAAAAAGCAATGTTTTGAACGTGTTCGAAATGCCTTGGAAAAAATCCAAATATATGTCATCAACTGACAGTTTTTGCCTACTTTGGGGATAACGATGACATTTCTGCGTTCAAAAAAAAATTTGCGCCTATTATTTCAATGGTTGTATGGAAGTGTATTACAACATACAAACAATGCTAATATATGAAAATGACAAACGGCAATGAACTAAATAATGATTAGGGACACCTCAAAGTGATGCCTAATTTTTTTGTAACCAAAAAGTGGTGCATTGTTTAGATACTTTGAGCATAATATGCTAACATTTAAGATCGCGTCGAAAGCTCAAAATACGATTAGAAAAAGAACCTTGAGTAAAAAGTCTAAGCTTTGGCGACGTCATCACTGCAGTCCATAATGAACCCCATACCAACACAGCAGCTAAATGAAAAGGTGCTACTTGCGTGTTTAAAAAAAATGCGTCTACGACAACGGTTGTAGAAGTGTTCAAACAAATTATAACATTGTTTAAATCAACCTTTGTATTAATTTTATATATTTTTTACACTAACTTGTACTTTAGCAGGTGTGTAGGTACTGTTACTAAAAATAATCAGCAAAAAGAATGTTTGAAAAAACAATCACATAAAAATAAAACTGTGAAAAGGACGTACGTAGATAGGAACGTTAAAATTTCAATTGTATGGACATATTGTATTGAAATGTAGTAAATCATTAACGAAAAATCTGATACTTCATTAAAATAAAACAAAGTTCGCTACGCTGATGTTACGATGGCCAAATTCATCGGCAGCAGCAGCAATGTTGAAATTTTCTACACTTACTATATCCTGCATTTAAAACGAGATGCAAGAAACATGAAGATACCTTTACCTGCAAATGCAGTACAATTACTGAGCTTAAAGAAAATATTTTGAAGAATTTACACGTCCTTCATGCTAAAGAAAAAAATATTAACATTATTTAAAAAAATAAAGCCCATGTTGTTTCATAATATTCAGACATAAAAGTGCCATGTGAAAGTGACAACCCTGAAAAAACGTAATAATTGGCTATAACTTTTAGACTCCATGAGATTTAAATCCGGTTTTTTTGTGAGGTAATAAGGAATATGAGACCTCAATAATCATATAAATAACTTGTCCAACTTCATCGGAATATTCGAAAAAAATTAAAACGAACGAACAATCACCTATGAACTATGTATGCTATTTTTTTTGTAATAGTTGTAATGGACGAGGGGTCTAATACAAAAACCACGAAAAAAATGTCCCAAGTCAACCTATTCGAAATTTAAATTGTAATGTCATCGCAGTATCGCGCTGTCAGTCGAACAAATGAAGACTAAAGCGGAGTTTGGCGCTCTGTATACGATTTTAGCGCCTTAGAAGTGCGGACACTTTTTAGCGCGGACCCGACGTCCATATAATTGTAAGTCAATGGATCCAATTTTATATT